TCTATATGAAAAAGGTTGGTTGTAAGTGTGTATAGACTGCAATAACCACTTACAGTCAGGTGTATAAAAATATCATAAAAGCTTAAGCGACAATATGCTAATAGCAAATAGTCAACTTGAAATCTAAAACACCTTAAGTTAGATTAGATAAAATGCTCGTGTTCATGAAATCAAATTCTTGTGTCAGTTACATATTTTCTACAGACATTTGAAGGAATTATCTAATATCTGTCTGTTCGGGATAATCTCTGGATTAGCGGAAGCGATGGTGGTGAAATTTCTAGAAGATATAGAGAGCAATACCTGGAGTGATACTGGCTATATTAGATAAAAACATACATAAACACTCACGCCTGTCACCCAGAGAGGTAGGCAGAGAATACGGACTTCCACATCCTACTACCTCTTTCGCCTCCTTTACATCCATATATCTACGCATACATGCTCGTCGGTTAAGGGTACTTCTAACGTGGCCCCTTTTCAAAATATCGCCAATTTGGTCGATAAACTTTTTTCTAGGGCGTCCCTTCCCGACTCGGCCGTTCACATCTGCCATATAAATTTGCTTTGTCACTCTTTCCTCATTCATTCTTTCTACATGACCAAACCACCGAAGCATTCCTTTCTTAATCCTGGTCACAACATCATCTTGCATACCACATTTATCTCTTATCACGCAATTTCTCACCCTGTCATTCAGATTCAACCCTAGCATACTCCTTAAAGACCGCATTTCTACAGCATTTATTCTGCTTTCGTGCTTCTATATGGCTATATTAATGAGAAAAACTTAGTGAATTAATGACTAAACTCCTTTCATTCTGCATCTGCATCAAGAAATGTACTATTAAGTTTAAAATTTCGCTATTTTGATCTTTTGATGTAAATCTAAGTAGTTATGATTACGTAGGAAGAGACTCTCCTAACACAAATATCTTATGATTACTTTCTGGAAGGCCTCGGCAAACTAATTGTAAAAGATTTACTGAAATAAAAAAATGTTATTATATTATTATTTTTTTAAATTATTATTGATAATACTATGAAATAGATTTTTGGAAAAATAATTAATTTAATGGTTATTGATGGTTATTAAAAAAAAAGTAAATAACGTTACATTAACAGACCGATAGTGTAAAAGAAGAAGTCATCATTGTGGTGAAAGGATTAAAGAATTTTTGTGAGATTTTTTGGCTGTTATAAGTTTATAAGCAAGTGTTTGACCACTATCCCACCAGATGGTGAGCAATGACGCAGCCGAAGACAGTAAAGCGCGCTGACTTAGCTTAACAAAAGCCATTTTTTTAAGTTTCTTACTATGCATAGTTTTTTTTATAGGATAAGGGTGACAAACGAGCACACAGTCCACCTGATGGTAAATGATTGCTAGGGCCCACAGACATCTACATTTATACTCGATTAAGAATCAAAAAATCGTAATATAGCTGCAGCGTGGCTCTCACACTAGACGGGCGAAATGGCGCTTATATTTCCAGTACATTTATTTCGTGAAATCTATGAAATCCCTTTCGACTAACACAAACTCTACAAATATTTAAGAGTTTATTATTTAAGGCATCTTTTTTTTACTTTTTGAACCTCTGTCAACTTAAATCTACTAAAATGTATTGCACAAAACAATATATTTTTTAAATTGAACATATGAATGAACAAGGGTTGCGTGAAATCAGAAACACTAATCATAATAATTGGCTTACCGAAATTCCATAACATATTGAGTTTCAGGTCAAATCGAGAATATCTTTTACTTCTATTTTTATTTTATGATAATAATTAAAATAATGGAGCAAACGAGCGCTCGCGCCCGCACCGACATGTACCCGCCCAGACGTCTTCAAAGGTGCATGTACGTTGTTTGTTCTGAAATTCTCTCCGCTTTAGATCTTTTAACTCGACAATTGCTAACGTTTTAATAATACATATACACATCGTACTACAGGACGGACTTAAAACGACCAAATTAACTCAAATTGCTTATAAGTTGTTAGTAAGGCTATAACAGGACAAAGGAATGCACTTAATCTCTTAGGCTGTACTCACACGAAGTTAACAGTTAATAACGGTTATTGCCAGGGAAATATAAACACTATCGTGGGTGTTTTATACGAACTGCAAAGGTCATTATCTCGTAGGCGTCGGACAGGTGCCGGACGCGATAGGCGAGGGCGCTTCCTACGTCACACGGCCGATAGCTAGATAAGCGATACAAGGTGTTTGGTACTTTGGGTATGGGGTAGGCGCTTCTGAGCGAAATGTATTCGACCAATCATTTGGCCACAGGTTTATTTAAAAGCCTATATTGCTAACTAAGTAAACGATATAAGTTAATTTGATTACTATGGTTAAAGGTCAGGTGCTTTTACGTATCATTTGTTTGATGAGAGCTTTGCACGAGGATTAAAGCTCCACTTAAAGCTTTAGGCAGTTTCAACATGTTGAGGTAGGAGCGCATCCAAGCGTAATTTTTTTATAAAATAAAAGTGACCGAGCTCACAGTCTACCTACCCGATGGGAAGTGGATGCTGTGAGCTGTGACCCATAGATATCTACGTCTATCCTCAATTATGAATCAACACGGATATGTTTTTATCCCCCTGAGGACTAAGATTAATTGCCTTGTTTTCTCTCGAGTCTTCAGTTTTTTTAACTCTCCAACTCCATACGAAACACATCAGCATTAAGCTGCTAATTTACGCTGGTACGCTGGGTAAGTGTTAATAATTAGCAAAAATATATTTGCGATTGTTGTCACTAGGTGAAACTTCATCTTCATTTGAAATTTATAGATTATAAGTGAAACAAAGTGAAACGTTTCACACCAAATCACAAAAATTAAATCTTGGACGAAAATATATTCTAATCTAAGTCTATTAATTACCTAAATTAAATTAGTCACACATGCAATACATGCAGGACCTTTCTTCCCATCGGTTGTAGGTTCTTCGAGCTACATGGATAGCCCAATGCTACTTCAACCAACTGATCCGATGTATTATATGGTTCTACTACGGATATACTCGTCAAAGTTTACCATACACAGAAAATACGAGCATAGCCCTCTGAGCGACTTCGCTGAGCCACATTGACAGACCTCGTCTCAGTTCCTTATCTCATCGCTCACATGCATAGCTTGTACTGATTATGACTGCCTCGTTGGTCTAGTGGTTGTAGTAATGCGTCTGCTGATCATGAGGTCCTGGGTTCGAATCCCAGGTCTGGCCAAAAAATAATAATTGAGTTTTTCTGAAAAACTCTTCTAAAACCCCCGTGCCTCGGAAAGCAGAGCCGCCGGTTTACCATCTTATCGGACTATGAGAGCGAGCGAATAGAGAGTGCACCTGTGCTTGCGCATACACTTGTGCACTATAATTCTGTCCTGCTCCGATGGCTAGTCTCCGTCGAGAGTGGCCGCCGTGACTGAAATCGGTCTGGAGAATATTAATACTGATTATGATATTTTGAATTTATTTAAAGGTAAATAATTTGTAACATTAAATTGACATTATTAAGTCCACGAAACTCTCAAAATATTTTTAGTAATTATAATCATCAATGTTCAACACTTCACATAGGGGCAAAGACACGTAGTATCAGGACATCGTACCAGCGATACGACCCGCATGAATCGCCCCAGCAGATAAACATTTATTCAAATAATATGTAGGTTAGTTGAAATTTAATGTACACGTTCCGATATGAACGCGTGGAAAAATTTATTTGCATCTCTTTATTTACTCGTAGTTGTTATATATTGAGTCCTTTGGAATTATTGGATGAGCTATCGTAACAAACGCGATTCTATTAAAACATTAAAAGTTGATTTTTCTATCGTCAGATAACTTTTATACGTAGTGGATACACGTTGCAGCTATATTATTGTTGTATCATGAAAGGGCCGGCTCGACTGGGGTAGGATCACGCTCTCATAAAATACTAGCGTAAAATACCAGTTTAATGCTGCTGTATTCATATGGCAAATATAAGAAATCAAAGACCCTTTTTACCGGAAACGAGACATTCCATGTTAGTTCTAAGGGTTGACAACGCATCTGCATTTTGATTCTTAATCGAGGATAAATGTGGATGTCTATGGGCCACAGCAGCCACTTACCATCAGGTGGACTGTATGCTCGTATGTCACTCTTATTCTATTTAAAAAAAAACCTGAATATAAAAGTGAATGAATAGAACTCTTTCATTCGAACAACTGTAATGTTTAATATGTTATTCTATGTACAATTTTTATCTATTACCCGCACGTGCCAGCTTCGGTATGCATTAATTAAACTTAAATAATAACTGTTATAAATATGAATATCAGAAAGATCTCACAACTTCCCAAAGACGGTGGTTAAACAATCTTGTTGATGTTAGACGTAGATCAGAACAGAAAGCAGCGAAAAAGGTGCGACTCAGTTACTGCCGTGATCGCCAGTCCACTTGCTAAGCGTGGAGATTGTGATTTTGTTTATTTAATCTCCAGCAGTAGTCTTAGTCAGCCCAGTGGCTCAGTGGCTTAGGCCCGCCGCTGATTGCAATTTTTTGTCACCGTGACTTATTATTACTGTCACCTGCTGTCACCCACGATGCGCTCACTGAATCTGTTCTTGGGTAACAGATCGCGTTCATTTTTGTAATGGACTTCAACGAGGTTGCCGTGATTTGTGCTCTTGAAATACGTAGAAGAAAAATGAAACGGAAAAAACGCTACTGGGTGCATCCTATATACACGGAAAGATTATTTAAAGGAAAATTCTACACTATATATTCTGAATTACGTCAGTATCCACCAAAGTTTTTTAATTATCTTCGTATGTCTATAAACTCTTTCGATGAGTTGCTGGCTTTGGTAGGTCCTGTGATTACATTTCAAGATACAACATTTCGCAAAGCTATTCCAGCAGAAGAAAGGTTAACGGTAACTTTGAGGTAAGTAACAAAAACTACATCAATTACTTATTTACACAAAAAAATCTTTATTAGTCAGAGGCATAAAAATTTCCAATATCACAATCATCTACAGAGTAATTTGACACATATGATCGTACAGTTTCGTTCGACCGCGGGGGAGACATATTATCATAAAAAGATTGAGTAGATGTAGAGAGTGCAGAGGGATTGAAATATTGTTGTGAAAGTACACGAGGCGGTGGTGGTGGTGGTTGAGATTGTGGTTGGGTTGTAGACATTATTGGCTGAGGAAGTATACGAGCTGGTGCTGGTTGGGCTGGGGATATTATTTGTTGCGAAATTATACGAGGTTGTTGTGGTTGAGGAAGAATGTATGTTGCAGCAGTAGAATTATAATTATTATAGTTACATTGTGTATAATATTTTAGGGTGTTCAAAATCGCAATCTGTGCATCAATTTTCTGATCTGGTGGAATTGACTTTAATAATGGAACCAATGATAACGCGAAATAATTGTCTGAGTCTGGTGGTGTCTTAATGTCTTGGTGGTTGGTTTTATCTCTTAATATTTCTAATAAAGATTCTTCGTAACTTTTATTCTTCTTCTTTTCTTTTGTTGGTCGTGTTATTGCTGGTGTAGAAGAATCGTTCTCACTTATTGCTTCTTCGTCAAGCGATGTCACGTTACTTGAGGTTTCTCTCCCTGGCTCCATAGAAGGTACCAAAAACAGTAACTTATCAAAGTACACGTATCGTTTTCGTTTAGGTGCAGCTTGCCCTGATTTTACGTCTTTTTGACAACGAAGCTCCCTCGAAAAACATGCTCTTAAATTTTTCCAACGACGTTGTATCACTTTAACTGTAAAAATAACATTCTTTTATTTACAGGTATTTAGCAACTGGTGCAAGTTTCAATGCATTATCTTTTGAATACCTAATTGGAGCCACAACACTTCGTAATATTGTAAATTCAACGTGCCAATCTATATGGGAAGCATTGCAACCTCTGTACATGGCAGAAAAAAATGAAGAAGACTGGTATAAAGTTGCTGATCAGTTTTACGAGCGTACTAACTTTCCTAATATTATCGGCGCCGTCGATGGTAAACATGTTAGAATAACGAATCCAAAGCACAGTGGATCTGATTATTTTAACTATAAAAAATATTTCTCTATGGTTTTGATGGCATGGGTAGACGCAGATTATAAATTCATCTACATTGATGTCGGATCACAAGGAAGCGCAAGCGACTCGACGATTTTTAAAAATTCGAATACTGGCAGAAGGCATCAAGAGAATTTATTAAATATTCCGATTGGACGAATTCTACCTAATGATGAAAATGGAAAAATAATGCCTTTTTGCATTGTAGGTGATGAAGCCTTTGGTCTGTCGAAAAATATCTTACGACCGTTTTCTAAGAGAGGACTTACAGTTGCCAAAAGAATCTTTAATTATCGACATACAAGAGCACGCCGAATGGTGGAATGCACATTTGGAATACTGTGTAATAAATGGAGAATTCTACACAGACCTATCGATGTTAATATAGAATTTTGTGATAAGATTGTAATGGCTTGCTGTATATTACATAACTATGTACGCGTTAGAGATGGAATTCAATTCACGGATACCGCGTACGAATGTACGCTCAGCAGTACGTCTACACATCAGTGGCATCGAAATATGTCCTGTGTCAATATAAGAAATTATTTTACTTCTTATTTTATTTCACCACAAGGATCCGTACCGTGGCAATATGAAAAAATATAACTAAACATGTATGTTTAGGTATATTTTTTCATATCGCCATAAGTTACAACTTATGATAATAATAGTCACAATTCACAAGTGCATACGCAATAAGTCATTAAAATTTCAATCTTATGTCAATGTGGGTAAATAATAATTCCGCAACGCTCTAGTGATACCTATACCTAACCTATGCAAGAACTGTAATTGCCTATCGCCCTAATTTAATCTAATAATTATAAATAAGTAACGTAGTAAAGTATAATAAACGCTAATACAATTACCTGCATTTTCTTTTTGTTCCTGTGATAAACTTCTTGTTGGAAACAAGTGTAATACTATTTCATCCCATAATCTTCTTTTTAAAATTATATCGGAATATTCCTTTAAATTTTTTGCATATAATGCAGGCCTCTTCTCTACCTCCTCTATTAATAATTCATTGTCAATGTCTTCCTCTTGCAAAGAAGACGACATCTTTAAAAACAAAACACAGCTACAAATATCATACGTCTACTCCGAACGCGCGGCGCCGGCCAAGTGACAAAAAGTCACCAGTGAGCGGACTCCCATAGTAATGCACAGGGCGAGTGACAGTCACGTCACTCCGGTGTTGCCTGCCGCTGCAACTATTTGTCACCGTATTATCAAGTCACCATAATGAGCGCACTCAACGTAGTTTTCATTGATATCATTGACAATTGACTAAGTGACAAAAAGTCACGGTGACAAAAAATTGCAATCAGCGGCGGGCCTTAGCATTGTATTGCAGCGCTAAGGGTCGCGTGTTCGAATCCCGCACAGAACGAGTATTTGAATGACCTGCAAATAATTGTTCGGGGTTTGTGCAAGTTATGTCCGTAAATTGCATCCAAAAAGAAAACCTAGATTTTTACGAGTGATGATAATTAAGAAGAAGAATAACAACTGTCTTAAAAAGAAAACGGAATGAAAGTGAACGCAAGTAAAATGAAAGTGATGGTTTTTGAAAGAGATGAAAGTAAAACGTAATGTGAAATAAGAATAGAAGGGGATTTGATTGAGCATGTGGATGAGTTCGTGTATTTAGCAGGGATGATAGATATGATAAGGATAAAGAACGACGAGTGAACGCAGGAAAAAGAGCGAATAGGGTACACTCTATTATGAAAATTCATAATGCTGTAGTCTCTACTTTAATGTATGGTATTGAATTTTGGGTATGGCAGAAGAAGCACGAGATTAAGAAATATGGTGGCTGGGTTGAATCTGAATGACAGGGTGAGAAACTGTGTGATAAGAGAAAAGTGTCGTTTGCAAGATGATGTTGTGACTAGGATTAAGAAAGAAATGCTTCGAATTTTAGAATGAACGAAGAAGGAGAGACAAAGCAAATTTATGCTGCAGACGTGAACGGTAGAGCCGGGACGGAACGCCCTAGACGAAGGTTTATCGACCTGGCGATATATTGAAAATTGGTCAGATTAGGAGTACCTTTAACCGACGAGCATATATGCGAAGATATATGGATGTGACGAGGCGAGAGGAGTGTGTCAGGATCGTGCCAAATAGAAAGCCGGAGTCTCTGCCTACCCCTCTGGGTGACAGGCGTGAGTGTTTATGGATTACGGAAAAAATATCCTTTATTCCATGCCACGATACTACTACTGTGCTATATTTTATAAAAATCTGTCCATTCGCCAAACGCAATTGTGGGACAAATATTCAATATAGCATAATTTCACATAAATATTACTTGCGTGCTAGTAATGAAAGCTTGTAAAAACAAATTAAAACGTCTATTACCTAAGTTTGTAACTAGTATTAACAAATTCTGTGATGATAGCATGGAAATGGTCACCAAAAGATAGCTGAGTTCAATACTCTAAACCTAAAACCGGTGTCGAGTTCAGATTTATGTAAATTCAACATTCGATTTTTAACTACAGTAGCCTAATGGTTGAGTGCGGACAGTAAACGCATTAAGTCGTGGGTTCGTATCATTCGTGCGACTACTATCGTGAGCCACTCCTGACACAAGAATTTTAGCTTACTTTGAGTTGTTAATATGATATACCATCAATAATATTAATAGTGTTACTGTGTATTCTTTTCAAAAAATATTTAGGAACAACTTGTAGAATTTACTGTAGAAACAAATGTTTCAGTGTACACTATTCCAAAGCAGTAAGAGTAAAAACTTACTTTTTTATCGTTAGAGCACTATCGAAAACCTCTAGGGATAACGTATTTATAACGATTGAATAGGAAAGTACAAAAAGTGTAGATTCCCCGAACGATTAGAAACAAAGAGTTGGGCGAAGATAAGGGGCGTAGTCTGGAGGCGCGCGATATCGCGGCGGCACGATCTACTATCGGGCGGGCGAATCTCTCGGCGTTTCGTATGATAAGACCCCCCTAGTCTCTACTACACTCCCCATTCGGATTCGTCTATTGAACTGGTGTAGTGTGTAAATTATTGCGTTGTTTTTTTTTGCCGTGGCATACACTTAAGCAAGTCACTTGCTTGACTAAGGTAATTTGAGTTGCACGTAAGTAGGACAAAGCAATTTCTCCAATTTTAATTCCTTTATTTTATTATTATTTAATATTTTTATAATTTCTACTTTAATATATAAGTTTTCAATCAATTTAACACTTGCACTGTCCGAATTTTAGACACAATAGTAAGACAATAGCAATGCGTTACTGTAGTAGACGGGACAGCGAAATGGTTAATATATATTGTACTTCCGAAATAGACAAGCTGTAGATACACTTAATTTTGCATTTTAACAACTTGTGTACAAAATTTAACAATTAATGACAGTCGAATCTAATCTTACTTGTTATTATGTCTTTCCCAACAAAGAGCGTTATAGGTTCACTATAAAATCAAACACGTAACTTTGCAATATTCCGTATGCCGTAATTTTTAAGCAGGAATTAAAATATGCCGTGACACGCGGTCAGTTCACGTTGGCCAAATATGAAATTAACGCACGAGCACTCAAATCAATATAATAATGTCAATGTTTTGATATATTAAATTTATTTCTTAATACTATTCTAGTAATAATCTAACATTTCTTTATTATATATGCATATTATCATAACTTAAACGCTTAAAATCTTTTGTTTTGTATATGTTTTAAAAAGTATAAATAAAAATAGTTCACCTGATAGTAAATTGCTTACATCATCATCATCATCCACATCATCATCATTACAGCCCTTCACAAGTCCACTGCTGAACTGATCATTGAACTGTTCATTGTTATTTATTCATTGCTTACAGTCGAAGTTCATTTAATTTTACTACCGCTATAATTATGGTTATATAATATATATATATATATATATATATATATATATATATATATATATATATATATATATATATATATATATATATATATATTATGACTGCGAATATTGGTCCATTAAACAATTTCAAAGATAGTGTTTAACTAATTTTTTTGAAAATTTACCATATGTCGATATACAAATATTCGTATATTGCCAGACGGAGGGAAACCAATCAGGACTCCCTTCCATATTACAAATTATCCAGAATCCCCGTAATATACATAGTTTTTAATTCATTCTCCTGCTTAACGCAATTCCTTAGTACGGTGCGACGTTGCCACTCTTATTAGTTATTCCGCTTTGTATATTAGTAATATTTTATTTATAGGTGATATTTTGTTTATGTAGGTATTCGATAGATTCCTATAGCCTGTTTTTTCGCAGAAGACAAAAATAACAGAACTTTATTAGATATTAGAAGATTATTAGCACGAATAATACAGTTTTTATGATTCTGGTTCAGATTAGATTTAATTTTAGTCACTTAATGTTCGTATATTGTTCAAAATAATGAAATAAATCCACAGAATGTGCAGTTACGAAAAATACGCGTCTCCGGCGAAAAAATAAAACAGATAGATATCAGGATTAATTTACCAACTAATTATTCGTTTACTAAATACGAAAAAATATATAGGATTGCCCAGCCGTGATACATTATAGATTGACTATATTATTATTTATTTTACTATTGTAAATAAGTACTAATTGTAGTATTGACAGGTTTAATAGAAGTTCATTTTCTTATATTGCCACTAATAACCGAATATGACCTTGGGAAGAAACTCATTTTAATATAAGGTTTAACTGCATTAACTTAATTAATTAACTTAATTAATTTCTACAATGGACCGTGTTGTATTGTTGCTCAGTTTCAAGGCACTCCCCTTGTTGCCTCTGCCAGTATCGGAATCCTCGGCGTCGACATATCGAGTGACGTGCAGTTTCGTGGTCACTTGGAAGAAAAGGCCATATTGGCCTCTAAAAAGCTTGGCGTGCTCAGCAGAGCGGGACAATATTTCATGCCGGCACACCGCCTGCAACTTTACAAGGCGCAGGTTCGGCTGCTCATGGAATACTGTTCCCATCTCTGGGCTGGGGCTCCCCAGTACCAGCTCCTTCCACTTGACCGCATCCAGCGCAGAGCGGCTCGAATCGTCGACGACCGAGTGCTTTCCGATCGGCTCGATTCACTGGCACTGCGAAGAGATGTTGCATCCCTTTGCATTTTCTTTCGCATATACCATGGAGAGTGCTCTAAGGAATTGTTCGGATTAATCCCAGCCGCCAAATTTCGTGAACGCACTACGCGGCAAACGTCCCGATACCATCCACACCATCTGGATGCTTGGCGGTCCACCACTGTACGTTTCAAGAGAAGTTTTCTTCCGCGTACAACCTCTCTGTGGAATAGTTTACCACCAGCGATTTTTCCGGACTGATACGACCTGGGGACCTTCAAGAAAAGAGCTTACTCCTTTCTAAAGGGCCGGCAACGCACCTGCAATTCCCCTGGTGTTGCGGTTGATCATGGGCGGCGGTAGTCACTTAACATCAGGTGAGCCGCATGCTCGTTTGCCCCCTCTACTATAAAAAAAACATGAATAACTCCGAAAATATAATTTATTTACTTGATCGTATCGAATTTTGGTGCTCTCACTGCGAGTTTACTTTTTATGATCACTTATTAAGGATGAGTGCGAACTATTTACCAAACCTGTACAAAATTACTCTCTACTTAACTAGATTCATTTTTGTGAAAGGCTATTTTTATTAAATTATGATATTATGTTTGGTTTTGCAGTTAGTTGAAATACATTTTTTTTTTGTGTTTGTTGTTATAAATATTGGACGCTATATTACTAAAAACATGCATATCGTGCTCTAATTGGCGTCCGTATTGTGAACTGCGCACATTGAGAACTTTCCACGCTTATGCTTGCTTGCATTTAAGTTTTTTTTGGTTATATTTAGTAACTTAGGTAAATAAACTTGTGTAAGTTGATTAATGTACTTGACATGGACATTGAACGGAGTATTTACCCATATACGGACGTAAGAATATCCTAAAATATTCACACTAAGTTTTATTTGACGTCAACTTCTTCGATATCCGATGTCCAAAGTAA